AGGACTAGTAGCCCTTGACGCATCTTGACCAGACGATGGAGAAGCCGTACAGACCAATCGTTGGGGTTGACTATGTAGTTTACGTTCATTAATAACCATTTGGACCCTAGCCGTAGATCTCGGAGTTGGTTGTCGCCTAGTGCTAGACGGTGAAGATGTAGGCGTCTTAGACGTACATACGTAAGCCAAATGACCAGGATTATTGCAGCGATGGCAGATCAATTTGTCGCTCTTGATTCTGCACGTGTCGGCTTGATGTTGTGGGTTGCCACAGATTCGACAACGTGCTGAGAGCTCGGCTGGTTCTGGTTGTTGACAATCTTTAGCAGAATGTCCACGTTTGAGACATCGATAACATTTCATACCAGAAAGATCACGTCCCATATTGACGTGATGCTCACGGGTCTCGTTGTCATCTGTGGAGTAACCAGCCTCGACCGAGTTGACAGACTCACGTCTAGAGTAAGAGGTTTGTCGTTGCCAAGGTCGGCGATTACGATAACCACTGTCTTCACTTCTTCTACCATAGCTACCTCTAGAGTCGTCTCTGGCCTTCTTGTCGAAAGACCGGGAGCTCTCAGTAGTCGCGTTGATGTTGGCCATACGTCTATGCTGACGTAATACGACTTCTTTGAACTCCATATAGTCGACTTCCCTGTCGTCAAGGTAATCGTTGACACGAAGTCGTAGTTCAGAGCCTTTGAGACCATTGTAGAGCTTCCACTTCATCTTATACTCCAAGACCGGGGAACCGAGATGGTAGAGTTCAGAACTAAGGTCTTCTAGACGTTCGATGAAGACGTAGACAGAGTCAGTGCCCTGAACGCAGTTGTTGAACTGACGTTCAGCCTTGTGAAGATGCTCGTCAGTGTCAAACGTCTTGCGGAGCTGCTTGAGGATCTTCTTGAGTTGTCGTTCATAGTCTTGATAACAACGTGAAGGAGGAGTTAGTCCGGTAGTTACCTCCTTCCACACCCTAGAGGACGTGTACTTCTTGAGCCATAGATACCTCACCACGTCAGGATGTCCTTCCGTCTCGTGGTACATGACCGTTATCCATGTAGTACCAGATCGGCTGTCTTTGGCACCCTCAAAGTTCTTATCAGGTCGAAGTGACCTGATAACGTTCTGCATG